CACATTTGGCTGGGCACGGTGGCTCGGGCCTGTAATCCCAGCTCTTTGGGAGGCTGAGGTGGGCAGATCACTTGAGTCCAGGAGTTCAAGACCAGCCTGGCCAACCTGGTGAAACCCCATCTTTAATAAAAATACAAAAATTAGCTGGGTGTGGTGGTGCGTGCCTGTAATCCCAGCTGCGTGGGAGGTTGAGGCATGAGAGTTGCTTGAACTTGGGAGGCAGAGGTTGCAAGATTGCGCCATTGCACTCCAACTTGGGCAACAGAGTGGGACTCTGTCTCAAAAAAATAAAAAATAAAAACAAATAAATAAACAACTCACATTTGACTACCAGCTGGATTTCCCTTGAGTTTTTCTTCTACATCCCTTCCTCCAATATTCTTACCAGTATCGCCATCATTACCAGTATTCATCATCGTATATATTCTCAGAGTTTTCTTTAATCAAACTTGGCCTTGCTAGCTCTTTGAAAGCGTTTCCATTAGGGCAACATCACTATCAAATCTTTTTTTTTTTTTTTGAGACGGTCTCACTCAGTTGCCTGGGCTGGAGTGCAGTGGTGCTATCTCAGCTCACTGCAACCTTGGCCTCCTGGGTTCAAGTGCTTCTCGTGCCTCAGCCTCCCAAGTAGCTGGGACTACAGGCATGTGCCACCACATTCAGCTAATTTGTGTATTTTTTCGTAGAGACAAGATTTCACCATGTTGGCCAGGTTGGTCTTGAACTCCTGACCTCAAGTGATCTGCCTGCCTTGGCTTCCCAAAGTGCCAGGATTATGGTTGTGAGCTACCATGCCCAGCCCCGAATATCTCTTTATATAGTTATGGATGCCTACAAGGGACACATTTGATGGAATGCAATCCGTAGGCCTCTGGAGAGATTTTTCATGGGCCTGTATCTCTCTGTTGGGAAGAACCTCATGGTGGAGGCCATTCCTCTTTCTAAATTAGCTAGTGTGAAAAACAGGGCAAAGTTCTCATAAAATTTCTAACATCGACGAGAGTGTTGACACTAGAAAGAGAAGATAGAAAAAGTATGAAAATGCAGAAATGGAAAATGTACATAAATTCAAATTTTTATCAAATAGTATTCATTGATTTTAAATTTGTACAACATGCTTGTTGGTATTTAAAAATAGAATGATGGAGGATGATTTTGTGGGAGTAATTGTTTGAAAAAAAATATCAATTTAACATCACTTTGCTTTCCATTTCTGCTGCCAAGAAAGCTCATGCAATATCTTCTAATTCAAACATAAGTGTCTCCAGAAACCTTTGGATCACATATTACAAAGCCCCATCTGTTTTACCCTCTCAAAATTAGCATTTTAGCTTAATTCACTTATAAATTTTCTGACATTAGCTTGATTCTTCTCCTCTTCCTTTTTGTCATCTAAAATCACACCTGGCATCTCTTAGATTTGGATTCAACTGAAAAAATAATTTTTAGCTATTTTAAGTTCTTTTTAGTAGTAAGCAGAGTGTAAATAAAATTTAAAGCATAATGGTGCAAATATATATGCAAATAATATTTCTTGCAGGATTGTTTACAATAGCAAAACATGGAAACAAATGTCTGTGGATTGAGAGGCGGTTAACACAATAATTGCTAAATCATTAATAATTGTTAAAAGGAGTAAAATATATGTGTGTGTGTATATATCTATATTCTGATATGTATGCAAGACTGTATATGATACATGTAAGTGGAAAAAAGCAAGTTAAAAAAACAACAAACAGATAGTTTTATATATTGAAAAAAAATCAAGGGTTTTCAAAAAGGGTATCTTTGTGTAAGGGCATAGAAAGTAGCTTGCAAGGCACACACTAAGTGAGGAATGTGATTTGCTCTGGAGGGGGACAGGGTAAAGGCAAAGGTGGCAAGGGGACACTCCCATTTTTCCTGTAGGCTTCTGGTGTGCTTGAATTTTCTACAGTAAGAATATGTGGGCCGGGCGTGGTGGCTGATCACAAGGTCAAGAGTTCCAGACCAGCCTGGCCAATATGGTGAAACCCCGTCTCTACTAAAAATACAAAAATTAGCCAGGTTTGGCAGCATGTGCTTGTAGTCCTAGTGACTCAGGAGGCTGAGGCAGGAGGGTCGCTTGAACCTGGGAGGCAGAGGTTGCAGTGAGCTGAGATCATGCCACTGCCCTCCAGCCTGGGCGACACAGTGAGACTCCGTTTCAAAAAAAAAAAAAAAAAAAAAGTGTGGATGTGTGTGTTATTTTGCAATTAGAAAGTCCAAACCAAGGCCAGGCATGGTGGCTCATGCCTGTAATTCCAGCATTTTGGGAGGCAGAGGCAGGAGGATCACTTGAGCCCAGGAGTTCAAGACTAGACTGGGCAACATGGCAAAACCTCATCGCCAAAAAAAAAAAAAAAATTAGTGGAGTGTGGTGGCTCATGCCTGTAGTCCCAACTACATGGGAGGCTGAGATGGGAAGATTAATTGAGTCCAGCAGTTAGGGGCTCCAGGAGCTGTGTTCACACCACTGCACTCCAGCCTGGGTGCCAGAGGGAGAACCTCCCTCCAAAAAAAAAAAAAAAAAAAAAAAAAAAAAAATCCAAAGCAAAAATGATTAATCAAGCACATATAACAAAATAACATAAAATAACAAATATATAACATAAATATATATATATAACATAAAATAACAAATGACATAAGGGTCATTGCAAATTTCTGAAGGTTTCCTTTCTATTCCTATTTTGAATCGTTTCCTACTCAAGGCAAAATAAAAAATTTTTTTTTTTAATTTTAAAAATAGAGATGGGGCTGGGTGTGGTGGCTCACACCTGTAATCTTAGCATTTTGGGAGGCCAAGATGGATGGATTGTCTGAACTCAGGAGTTTGAGACCAGCCTGGGCAATATGGCAAAACCCCATCTTTACTAAAAATAAAAAAAAAATAGCTGGGCATTCTGGCACGCACCTGTAATCCCAGATACTCAGGAAGCTGAGGCAGGAGAATTGCTTGAGCCTGGGAGGTGGAGGTTGTGGTGAGCCAAGATCGTGCCACTGCACTCCAGCCTGGGCAACAGCACACACTCAAAAATAATAATAAATAAACAAAAATAGAGATGGGGTTTCATCATGTTGGCCAGGCTGGTCTTGAACTCAGGACCTCAAGTGATCCTCCTGACTCAGCCTCCCAAAGGGCTGGAATTATAGGCGTGAGCCACTGCACTCAGCCCATTTCTGCCTTTTACACAATCCGCTTTTCCTTGTTATCCTTGCACCTAGGCCTTCCAAAGTGTTGGGATTATAGGCATGAGCCACTGCAACTGGCCCTTGTTCCTTGTTTTGTTTTGTTTTTTTTTTTTGGTCCTGCACTTGGTTGAGGAGGGCAGCTTGCCTTGAGAAGCAATTATAAAAAGAGAGGAACACTAGAGAAATGGGGGTCTCAGAGTTGTGATGGTGGTTTGGGGCAAGGAATAGGAAGTAATGAGGTCACCATGGGACACTGGTAGAAGTGGAGAGGAAACTAGGCCGGGCGTGGTGGCTCACGCCTGTAATCCCAGCACTCTGGGAAGCTGAGGCAGGCGGATCTTCTGAGGTCAGGAGTTTGAGACCAGCCTGGCCAACATGGTGAAACCCTATCTCTACTAAATACAAAAATTTAGCCAGACATGGTGGCACATGCCTGTAATTTCAGCTACTCGGGAAGCTGAGGAGGGAGAACTGCTTAAAACCAGGAAGTGGAGGTTGCGGTGAGCTGAGATTGCACTCCAGCCTGGGCAACAAGAGCGAAATTCCGTCTAAAAAAAAAAAAAAAAGATGAAGGGGAAACTAGACGGGAAAACTATGACTTAGTAATGAATCAGCAGCAGCAGCAGGTGCAGGAGTAACCCTTAGGCTTTCTCGTACATGGTTTTGTTGAACTGGTTCTGTGGTGGAGGATTGTACCTATCACTTTTTGTAGATGAAAAGGAAGTAGATGAAGTTGAATAATGAGGAATCAAAAAATAAAAAAGGAAGCAGAAGTCAGATCCCAAACTCAAGGAATTTTTTTTTTTTTTTTTGAGATGGAGTCTTGCTCTGTCACCCAGGCTGGAGTGCAGTGGCATGATCTTGGTTTACTGCAACCTCTGCCTCCCGGGTTCAAACAATTCTCGTGCCTCAGCCTCCCGTGTAGTTGGGATTACAGGCGCCCACCACCACAGCCAGATTTTTTTTTTTTTCATTTTTAGTAGAGACAGGGTTTCGCCATGTTGCCCAGGCTAGTCTCAAACTCCTGAACTTAGGCAATCCGCTTGCCTCGGCCTCTCAAAGTGTTGGGATTACAGGCGTGAGCCATCACACCCAGCCGAAACTCAAGGAATTTATAAATTATGGTAATATGATAATGATATCCACAGATGAACACAGAAGACAGAAATAAATAGATAGATAGATGGTGCTAATTGCCAGTAAAGAAATAAATACTGGCCAGGTACAGTGGCTCAAGCCTGTAATTCCAGCACTTTGGGAGGCTGAGACAAGCAGATCACCTGAGGTCAGGAGTTGAGATCAGCCTGGCCAACATGGTGAAACCCCGTCTCTACTAAAACTACAAAAATTATCCGGGCGTGGTGGTGGGCCCCTGTAATCCCAGCTGCTTAGGAGGCTGAGGCAGGAGAATCGCTTGAACCCGGGAGGCAGAGCTTGCAGTGAGCCGAGATGCTGCCACTGTACTCCAGCCTGGGCTACAGAGCAAGGCTCTGTATCAAAAAAAAAAAAAAAAAAAAGAAAGAAAAAGAAAAAGAAAAAGAAATACTAAGCAGAGGGTTTGGGGTTTGGGCTTTGGATCACGTGTCAGCTCCAGCTTCATTATTCCATCTGGGGTAGCCTCCTTCACCTTTCCGAGAGGCTGTTTTCCCAGCTTTATTACCGGTGGATGACTCCTATGTCATTGGGTTGCAGTGAGGACTAGAGGAGGTAACATACATAGAAGAGACCTGTAGAGCCCCACTGGGGGGCTTCCTGCCCAATCCCTCCTTCCCTCCTGCCCTCCACAGGTGTCAGACTCGTGTCTCAGTCAGAAGACTTTCCCTGCTGACGTACGTTCCCTCTAATTCCACCCTGGCATTTGTTTCCCAGAAGTCTGGCCTGGGGGCTTTGGAAGTAGCAAGCAGCAATACAGTAGCAACAATGAGAGGTGGAGCTGATAGAAGACACGGTCACTTTGGCTAGGGGTTGGCCTGCACGAGATGGCGAGATGGTAAGATGGCGTGGGTGTGTCCATCCGAGGTCTCTGCTTCTGGGAGACAAGATTTCCATGCATGAAATAGAGTCATGTTTCAGCCCAAGACCGAAAGGGCTGCCAGGGTTAAAGAACTCAGGGCTGCAGATCAACTGGGATCCGCTACATTCAGAGGACATTGGAGTTTGGATCTTGCTCATGGCTGGCAAAGTGTTTAGATCCTTTTGAATATAAGTGGTCCCCTTCTTTTTTTACATCTTTTACAGAATTGTCCAGTCTTATTTCGGGGGCTGGCGGTGGTATTTGCTCAGTCAGTGAGCTAGAAGCTGTGAGGCCTCACCCACATTCCCTTTTTTGGGCCAGCACTCCAGCCCCAGCCGCCAGCGCTCATGGCTGCCCCTTCTCTGGGATGTCATCCTTGGCTGGCGGGAGCCAGTTTGCTCCAGGTTTCTGCCATCCTGCCCCTGCCCCTCATGACAGATGCAGAGGCACAGAGGGTGCCCCTGTATCTCAGGAGGGGTGAATCTGCCATGGACACCTGCTGCATGGATCAGGCTAAGATCAGACTTCTGGAAATCCTCCCCGCTCAGCTGCATCTCCTTCCAAGCTTTGCTTCACTACTTGCCTTGCGAGTCCTTCCAGAAGAGCATTCCCTCATCAAACCACGGGCACCTGAATTCCCACCTCAGACTCTGCTCCAGGGGCGCAGTGTCTACGGAGGCGACGCTGAGGATGGCTTCTCAGGTTGGGTCACTCGCCCAGCCACGAGGACCTGACTTAAAATTGTTGGTGCATCCTAAGTGTGACCCAGGGACCACCTGCGTCAGAAGCACCTAGAATGCTGTGGAAGCATCTTAAAGGCAGATTCCTGGGCTCAGCCATGGTTCTGCTGAATTGGAATCAACTGGTGAGCCCGATAATTGGCATTTTCAACAGCTTCCAATCGTACTCTGGAATATTCCAGCTTGTGTCCCCGGCTCACTGTTTTTCTCATCCTCCCTCACTTCCTGCTGAGTACATATGTATTTTGCTACTTTTAGAGATACTTTTACAATAAAGGCACTCTTGAAAGCATTTAATCAATTGGATTGTGTCCACCAAACAAGAACAATGTATTCATCTTTGTACCACCAGAGTCTAACACTCTGCCTGGCACTTAATATGTGCTCTGTAAACTACAGAATGAATAAAACATTAAATGCTTGCATCGTGTTGAACAGGGGAGACAAAGAAGTTTAAGCCACTCTCACGTTCTCTTAAGCAGATTATAATTCAGATCGGGGCCGAGTGTGGTGGCTCACACCTGTAGTCCTAGCACTTTGGGAGCCCGAGGTGGGCGGGCTCAGGAGTTCAAGACCAGCCTGGGCAACATGAATACGTAGTTCTTGTTAAGGATTTTGTTATTTATTCCAAGAACAATAGGAAGCCAGGGAAATGGGTCAGTCAATGTGACAGGGGCAATGAAAGGCCTCTCTGGCTGGAATTTGGGATGAGACTGTAGGAGCACTGCCAGGGTGCTACGCGGCTTGGCTCCTGCTTGGCCCCAGGTTCACCCCTCCAGCTGCCTCCACCTGGGCTCTTTCACCCGGGCTGGTCCGACACCTGGGAAGGCTCTTCCCGGATCCACTGAAGGAGCTGCCTGAGGTATGAACGTCAGAGCCTCCCAGGAGCCTGTCCACCCACACTCTCCTCATGAGGTCCCCTTTCATTCTCCATCTTAGCCCGAGATTCTTTCCTTGCTTGTGCTGATTACAACCTGCAATCATTATATGGATTTGATTGCTTGCGTTTCTTTCTAATCTCCCTCATATAAGCTTCAGGAGGGAAAGAACCGTAACTGCTTTGCATCCCCTTTGCCTGGGACAGTGACTGGCACAGGATGGATGCTGAAGACATTGGGGCAGCAGGGATGAGTGACACTGGGTCAAGTGAGTGCCTGGCAGGATCCCTCTGGGAGGGCGTGAGTGATGACGGGTTCTAGGTTGACTGTGGTGGAGACAGCGAGAAGAGACTGAACTCAAGCAGCCATTGTCAACGTTTTTGATTTCAGGACCCCTGTTTACTCTTAAAAATTATTGAGGATGGCCTGGTGCGGTGGCTCACGCCTGTAATCTCAGCACGTTGGGAGGCTGAAGTGGTCAGACCACCTGAGGTCAGGAGTTCGAGACCAGTCTGACCAACATGGAGAAACCCTGTCTCTACTGAAAACACAAAATTAGCCGGGTGTGGTGGCGCACGCATGCCTGTAATCCCAGCTACTCCGGAGGCTGAGGCAGGAGAATTGCTTGAACCCAGGAGGCGGAGGTTGCAGTGAGCTGAGATCGTGCCATTGCACTCCAGCCTGGGCAACAGGAGCGAAACTCTGTCTCAAAAAAAAAAAAAAAAAAAAAAAAAAAGGAGGACCTTAATGACTCTCATTTATATGAGTTACAGCTATCAAAATTTATTATTTTTGGGCCAGGCTCAGTGGCTTACACCTGTAATCCCAGCACTTTGGGAGGAAGAGACCGGAGGACTATTTGAGCCCAGGAGTTCAAGACCAGCCTGGGCAACAAAGGGAGCCCCAGTCTCAAACAAATTAAAAAAAATGTTAGACTGGGTACGGTGGCTCATGCCTGTAATGCCAGCGCTTTGGGAGGCAGAGGTGGGCAGATCACCTGAGGTCAGGAGTTCGAGACCAGCCTCTAACATGGTGAAACCCCGTTTCTATTAAAAATACAAAAGATTAGCTGAACGTGGTGGCCTGTGCCTGTAATCCCACCTACTTGGGAGGCTGAGGCAAGAGAATCACTTGAACCCGGGAGGTGGAGGTTGCAGTGAGCCGAGATCACACCATTGAACTCCAGCTTGGGCAACAAGAGCAAAACTCCATCTCAAAAACAAACAAAACAAAACAAAATTTTAAAAGACTTATCATATTAGAGTTGGGCATAATGGTATGCACCTGTAGTCCCAGCTACTCCAATTGGTGTGCACCTGTAGTCCCAGCCACTCCGATTGTTTGAGGTCAGCAGTTCGAGTGTGGGCTGGATAATATAGCCAGACACAATTTCTAAATTTAAAAAAAGAATTATCATACTAGAAATTAACGCAGAGCATTTAAAAGTATTTATTTTACTGGTTTAAGATGAACAATAATAAACCCATTATATATGGGGTCATATATATATATGGATCATGGCTCACTGCAGCCTCAACCCCCAGGCTCAGGTGATTCTCCCACCTCAGCCTCCCAAGTAGCTGGGACTACAGTCTCAAGCCACCACACCTGGCTAATTTTTGTAGAGACAGGGTCTCACTGTGTTGCCCAGGCTGGTTTTGAACTCCTGGGCTGGCTCAAGTGATCCTCCTGCCTTGGCTTCCCAAAGCGCTAAGATTACAGGTGATAGCCACCAGGCCCAATCTCACTATTATATATTAAGATAATTTTTATAAAAAGAACTGTGTTGGCCGGGCACAGTGGCTCACGCTTGTATTCCCAGAACTTTGGGAGGCCAAGGCAGGTGGATCATCTGAAGTCAGGAATTTGAGACCAGCCTGGCCAATGTGGTGAAACCCTGTCTCTACCAAAAAATAGAAAAATTAGCTGGGCGAAGGCTGGGCATGGTGGCTCAGGCCTGTAATCCCATCACTTTGGGAGACTGAGGTGGGCGGATTATGAGGTCAGGAGATCAAGACCATCCTGTCTAACACAGTGAAACCCCATCTCTACTAAAAATACAAAAATTAGCTGGAGGAAGGCCGGGCGCGAAGGCCGGGCGCAGTGGCTCACCACTGTAATCCCAGCACTTTGGGAGCCGGGTTGGCAGATCACGAGGTCAGGAGATCGAGACCATCCTGACTAACACAGTGAAACCCTGTCCTATTTAAAAAATACTAAAAATTAGCCTGCGCGTGGTGGCGGGCACCCGGTAGTCCCAGTTACTTGGGAGGCTGAGTGAGAATGGCATTGAACCTGGAAGGCAGAGCTTGCAGTGTGAGCCAAGACTGCACCACTGCACTCTAGCCTGGGCGACACAGCGAGACTCTGTCAAAAAAAAAAAAAAAAAAAAAAAATAAGCTGGGCATGGTGGAGGGTGCCTGTAATCCCAGCTACTCAGGAGGCTGAAGCAGGAGAACTGCTTGAACCCAGGAGGTAGAGGTTGCAGTGAGCCAAGATTGTACCATTGTACTCCAGCCTGGGTGACAAGAGTGAAACTCCATCTCATAAAAACAAAACAAAAAGAACCAAAAAAACTCTGTGTTTGCCAAGAGAAAAAAAATGTAGTGAGATGAATGACATTGTTATACATTTCTGCACATCTTTAATGTCTGACTTATTAGTAGCTGTTTTTGCATCTGCTCTGCACTTAATTGGTTGCTATACCATAAACATGCAGCTTCTGGAAGCTCTGCATATGTTTGTGAGAGAATGAGAATGGAAAAGACAAATAACTCCTTAGTATTCGTGTGAAAATAGTTTTGACATTTTGGACTTCCTGAAGGGATCTCAGGACCTCTTTTTCCCCATTCAAGGGACCCAGGTCAAACTTGAGAACTGCTGGATTAATGAGGTATTTAAGAGACAAGATTGACATGCCTTTGTTATATTATTATTATTATTGCTAATATTTATGAATGTTTATTATATGCCAGGCATGTTTTTAATCTTCACCATTCTATGCAGTAGGCACCATTAGTGTCTCATTTGACACACAAGAAACTCTGATTTTAGTTTTAGCACATACAATTTTTTGCAATGCATAAATATGTGTTTGTGTATACTTTTTTCACAAAGAAATTGGACATTGTTATTTTTGCGAGAGAGACCAGAATGACTAAATTGACAAATGTATAGCCTTTGGATGGTGCAGCTGAGCCCAACTCCAAACAGTGAGTCTCCAGGATAAAAGTGCCCTCCACCACCTTCCAGAACTCAATTACTTTTGAAATCTAACTTTGATTTAAATGTATTTTTGGGCCATTTCATTTTTAAGAGCTCATTTGCAGAGCTTAAAAAATTAATTAAATCTTTCGTCTTTGAAGTTTAATTCTTCCACTTCTGGCATATTATCTATGGCTTATGAGAAAAATTGCCAATTGCTTGGGTAATTTGCACCTAAAATAAAGGTGCAGGAACGTTGAAATTAGAAGCAGCTAGAATATTAGTTCCTTGGTTTCTCCTGCCAGGGCTTTGGACCAAAATTCACAGAACTTTCCTGTATTTTCACATTTTCCTTTTTCAGGCACTTCTAGGAGAAAGTGGTACTTGAACCGAGTGCTGTTGAAGGCTCTACTTTCTTTTTTTTTTTTTTTTGAGATGGAGTCTGGCTCTGTCGCCCAGGCTGGAGTGCAGTGGCCGGATCTCAGCTCACTGCAAGCTCCGCCTCCCGGGTTTATGCCATTCTCCTGCCTCAGCCTCCCGAGTAGCTGGGACTACAGGCGCCCGCCACCTTGCCCGGCTAGTTTTTTGTATTTTTTAGTAGAGACGGGGTTTCACCGTGTTTGCCAGGATGGTCTCGATCTCCTGACCTCGTGATCCGCCCGTCTCGGCCTCCCAAAGTGCTGGGATTACAGGTGCGAGCCACCGCGCCCGGCCGAAGGCTCTACTTTCAAGGCACCTGGTCACCACCAATGTCGCCCTACTTTGAATATGGGCGGTTAAGAATGTTTATGGGTTTTAAAACATTTGTAGCAACAAGTATCTATAGAGAGATCTATAGGATATAATTTTGAGAAAAATGGCCACCTTGGTGTTAACTACTATCCCAATGGTACCGATTAGTTGTCTGGTTGGTCTTTAATGGCAGGGGCACACCTCTCTACACCCTAAGATTAAAAAGATAAAGTCATTATGGTGCTCATGTTGTGAACATCTCATTGATGAAGGCTTTGCCTCAATTGTCTATGATTATGATGCTGTTGGCCTCTGCTTTGCCCTACAGTTAAATACATTAAATAAACATTTCTGACTATGAGGGCACTTATGAGGGCCCTCAGCTTAGCTGGGACGAAATGGCTTCAAAAGTAGGTAAAGGAATTCATGTTGCATTTGACAAACCTTAGCTCCTACCTAAACCCAAATCTAAATAAGAGATTTCTCACTAGGTTTCT